TGCTGTTTTTGTTATATATACTTAATAAGAAAAGGTATTTATAAATAAAATGTGATGTAAAGAAACGTTCATAAGGAAAATGTAGAAAATATTAAGCTGGTTTTGTAAAGCGTATATTCTTGGAAATCAGCCGACTAGAGCTTCCTCAAGATGCTGAGGGAGGTGTTAGACAGAGGCGCTCTACTTCTCTACACTGTTGGTGCTAAACTCTTTTCCTCACCTTAATTCACGTACAATTAATGCTACACTTGATCACTAAAGTTTATCGAACTTCGCAAAAATTCACTGAACTCTGTTTAGCATGTTACGTGCCAATTAATTTTTCTTTCGCTTAACTAAAACATATAAACAGAGACACATGCACATAAACGCCAACACATAGACAAACACGAACACGTTAACTCATAAACACGTATACACAGTAAAATACACCCATGACAAACTCACTTTCACACATACTCTCATACTCGTCTCTGACCTACCTGAAGTTGTCGGCGATATATTCCAACACATCATTCTCTGACCCACCCAGAGGCATAGCGACCCTTCCCGGCGCCCAGGGACAAACTTTTCGATTTGCACCCCCCCCCCCCCCCCCGCCTCGAGATTTCGATTTGCACCCTTCCCCCCTCAAACTTTCGATTTACACCCCCTCAACCTTTCAATTTATTTTTCCAACCCATTTTGGCGCCCCCTAAGGTCGGCGCCCTGAAACATATGCTCCCCCCCCCCCCCTCGCCGCTACGCTACTCCACCTACCTGAAGTTATCGGCGATATATTCCAACACATCATCCAGATAGTAAAAAATGTCCCCTTCTAACAAGTTGATCTTGTAGATTGGCAAGACGGGGTCCAGTATTTCAAAACCAGAATCCTCTAATATGTCGAGGTCAACATAAAACGCCACTTTCATTGCTGGACAGGCATCTGTCTGGAAGTATAAAGGAAAGTAAACGATATGGACTGAACTCTGTCAGAGAAACGCCGAGACAGAAAAAAAAATGAGAGAGTTGAAACACTAAAATGTCATCTCCCCGGACGAAATAGAAAAACTGATAATTTATATTTTAAAAAAAAGATAATTAACCAGTCGCCCCCCCCCCCCTCGTCAATTTAAGTTCGCCCCATCACCAGAGATAAATTTCTGACCTGGAAAATAAAATATGTTAACAAAAATTTAGACACCACCTTTTCCCTCTTATTCTAACTAACCTATTATCTCTAATATCTGATTAGGCTACCACTAGAAATAATATATTTCACAGTAATATCATGGCTACAGGACATACGATCTCAGACAAAAATATCCTAGACAAAATATTTCAGGACAATTAATATCAGGATAAAAGTTATGGACATAATTCAGACAAAATACCTCAAGTCCAAATATTTACAGTATTACGATGACCACCATTGCAGTCTCAGTACCAGCGCCTGCCTTTAACACCTTTTGAACGGGGGATACAAACATAAAATTAGAATACAAAAGTTTGAATACGTAACCATTATTTACATACCAGGTTCACCCAGGCCTTTCTAGAGATCAGGTGTAGAGTAGTTCCATAAGGAATCCAACCCGCGACAAGTTTCAGTTTCTGAAGTTGTCCTACATGGGATCTAGACAGTGAAGTCACGAAGTCATCAGTCAATAATACATAGTCGATCCCAAGTTTCGTCAAGTGGGTGAGAGATAGGATACCAGTGGTCAGTTGGTCAAGTTTAACCGGTTTCTCAGCCAACAAGCGTGTGTGGAAGAACCTGTCAATGTCCAGCGATTGAAGAGTTCTTCTGGACGTGGTCAGCACTGTGTTGATGAGATTGTTGCCTTCTTCTATTGGCCATTGAGCTTTGGTCATCTTGAAACATTGTAGACGGTCAAGTCTGGACACCAAACGCGTCATTTCCCTACTGATACCGGGCGTGGTTCTAGTTGACGCTTCTCGCAATCCTATGTCACTTATTTTTATTGACGTCAGTGTCGGATGACGTAAATCTTGCAAACACTTCCGAAAAACGGTGGCCAATGAGCAGGAGTTTGGATAGCATTTATGGTGTTTGCAGACGGAGATAGACAATTCATACAAGTGGCAGCCGAAGCGTATAGCATTCGAGAAAGCTTTTTTCCTGTTCAAACATTTACAGTTGCAGCAGAACTCGAGGTGCATGTTCCTCCACAAAGTAGGCGTGGTGTAAATCAAATCCCTCCAAGATCTACACACACTCGCTAGCCTTAACAGCTCATTTTTGTTGTCAACAAATCTGAAGATGTTTACCAACACCACTGAAGGCAACTTGCCTAGAAAACTTGAGCCGTCTGATTGGCCATTTAAGTAGACGGTTAGACCGTCCATCTGACTCTGCTGTTTAACTGCTGGCGAGGATGCTTTAAAGCCACTTACCATATCGCAAATTATACTTCTCTTTGTCATTTTCCGAGCTCAATAGTTTTAAATTTGGTGGTAGGGACAAAATAGAATACAGTAATGAGTAAAGTTATTTCATGGACGCGCGAAAAACTGCTTCCTTCTATTGTGTCGTGCGCACCCGTGCAAAAGGTGCGCTTTATGTTGTGTGAAACATTCGGGTGTTGGTTCATATATTTTGTGAAATAATTTTTTAGCGCAATTTCCATTCTGGAGAATTGCGTTTATTAACTCGTCTTTTCTGGGAATGGATGGATGGATGAATGGATGGATGGATGTGTGTCCGCAGCTTTAAGTCGTATCTCCTCCTCAACGAAGCAATATCTAGGACTAGTTCCAAAAGCAAATATGTTAAGCAAGTTACCAGGATGAACATAGGCCATAAAAATTCCGGGTTTCTTTCATGTATTTCCCGGAAAAGCCAAAAAACCTCGAAAAAATGCAGTTTTTGGCCCATATCTCGGCAACCAGACCACTTAGCGACTTGAAACATGTACCAATCGCTTCCTGCCATAATTTAGAACAATATTGCCGAAGAAAGTTTTCAAAAATATCCTTTCGTTTGGTCACAAAAATTTTTTTTTAATTAATTAAAATTTGGACCGAATTAGTAGGCATTTTTTCCAACCACACCACACGCGGCATCACGTTCAATAACTGCGCCATCACGTTCCATGGCTGCGCCATCACGTTCAGTAGGCGCGCAATGGTTTTTAGTCATGTTACTCTATTGTAAATAAAACATGTAAAATACAGAAAACAAGTTAATTAAAAAAGTCTAGTGACATTTATGCGCAATTTCCTTATGTTATCTAAAAATAGCTCTGACGTATAATGTTGGGGTGCGTTCAAGCTAGAAGAACGATCGGTTTGTAGGTGTTTATGTATTTTTAAAATTTGTGACCGAACGAGAGGATATTTTTGAAAACTTTCTTTGGCAATATTGTTCTAAATTATGACAGGAATCGATTGGTACATGTTTCAAGTCGCTAAGTGGTCTGGTTGCCGGGATATGGGCCAAAAACTGCATTTTTTCGAGGTTTTTTGGCTTTTCCGGGAAATACATGAAAGAAACCCGGAATTTTTATAGCCTATGCTCATTCTCGTAACTTGCTTAACATAATTGCTTTTGGAACTAGTCATCGATATTGCTTCGTTGAGGAGGAGATACGACTTAAAGACCGGACACACATTCATCCATCCATCCATCCATTCCCAGAAATGACGAGTTAATAAACGCAATTCTCCAGAATGGAAATTGCGCTAAAAAATTAATAAAAAACGTTTTAATAACTAACCAATGGTTTTACTAACCCTGCTCTTGATTTACGCTACGACAGAGCTATTTTTAGATAACACAAGGAAATTGCGCTAAAATTGTCACTAGACTTTTTTTAATTACTTGTTTCTGATATAGTGACGAAATTTAAAATGGTAATTAGTGTATTTACATAATAGTAAACCATTTTCATAGTTTTCATATTTGAATGAGTTTTATAAATTCTTGTAATTTTGATGCGGCCTTGCATTTTGTAGACAAGAAGACGACATTTGGTCAAACAACTAGCTGACCCTTAATGTAAGAACATAAGGACATGCCTCGTTGGCTCTACATTTGAATTTCTAAATATAAGCTGTTTCATGCTGTTCTGGCCTGTTCTAAGTCTAGCGATAATTTTGTTTTATATAGGCGTCGTACTTGCTTTAATTAGCATGTGAGAGCCAGACTAGATGCTGACTTGTTTTCGTTTTATATTATTTGAATTTCTTTTTATGTATCGAAATCTCTGTCTTCTTCGACTCTAATTTTAGCAATAATTTCGGCGATCACATTTGCTTTTATATATATTATGCCCGTTAACTACTAAAGTACAGACGTGTTGCTGATATAGTTTAAGCTTTCTATGGCTGGCCTGAGATATTAGATAAAAGAGGCTTTTTGATTTCTCTGAGACAGCAGGACAGAACTGGCATCTGTGAGAAGGACAATCTGATGAGGATTCAGTGTGACCTATCTGGAGTTATCTGCATGTTCCGAAGCTTCAGTCTCTGCTATAAAATTATCAGAAAGGCTGTCTGTGGCAATAGATTTTTCTAAGCTATCATTTTAGGCGAATGCTTTATATACCAGCACAGCCATTGTTGGTTAATCTTCAATTGAGTCATCTGTTTTTAATTTTTTTTTTTTTTACCGTTAATTTTATTTTGTAATCCCTGTTCGCCATTAAGGATTACTCGGTTTTTTTTTATTTTCTTTTATTTGTATATCTTGACATAGCTCAACTCGGAGTATATTTATCAAACATTTTATTATATTCATAACAAAAGTACAATTTATAGATTTTATAAAGCGATTTTGAAATCTGGTAAAATACAATACTTAACTGTAAATCAAATAGTATTGTAGATTATAAAAGTGCGATAAGAAAAACCTTTTGGAATAATTGGGTTATTAAGTCTGGCACGTTCACTAGTAACTTTCTATAAAAGGCTAAAAAATCGATATCATAAAATAATCGAAGTTTTTCTCATCAATGCACAAACGTCATTATGTTGTGACATATTCTCGTGTTTGCCTAATTGGCTATGTTGGAACGTGGAACTTTAGCCGGTCCTGTCTTAGCTCGTTTGTTTGGGTGTGACATTCTCAAGATTCTCAAGTCGTGTCTTCGCTTTCTGTCTCCTATCAACTTCATGGCAGTCTTTACTGTCTCTGGTGTTAGGAAGTGGGCAGATACCTGCAATGTTGGATAAGGATTAGTGCGGGTGTAAGAAGTATATGAAGAGGTAGTTAGTAATAAAAACAACACTGTCGTTAAGCGTATGTATAATAACCAATTGCCTAGTCGAGGAAACAGGATTTGATTGGACGCTCAAAAGGGCATAAACGGGAATAACTGAATTTTATGGAACCAGCTTGACTTTCGATCAGATGAAAAGCCAAAGATTTTATTTGAACTTTATGGAACCGACATAATCAGATGTTCGACAAAAATTCAATTTAATTTGTTTTTTGAAACAAATGTTTGAAAATTTAAAAAATATTATGTTAATAAAAAAATTAAACTGAAATTTTAAAAAAATGTGTCAGTTTCTTAAATGAATCTTATTTCATGTTAGATATTTGGTAATTTTAGGAAGATTTATATAATCCTATCTGTGTTAAAAAATATTATTTTATATATTTATCTGAATAAATGCTGAATTTAAAAAATGCCAAGTCTTCTGACTCAAGTAGCGTCCCCCCAAATGCAGAACGATCTTTAATTTATTTTAACTTAATTTCTTTTCACAAAATGGAACCCAATTTAGGGAGGGGAACCTCGCTAAACATGAAAATTTCGTGAAATATATATCGTTATGTGAAAATGGCTACTGTGAGTTAACTATTGGTGTCTAGTAAGTAATGTATTGCGTTTTATAATAGCGTACTGCTGTATATAGAAATGCAGTGTACTACTGTACATGGAAATGTTTGTACTGTAAGATAATAATGCTATTAGCGTGGTTATAATGGTTGTAGATCTTAAATGGTGATTAAAACCTGTATGGTAGTCTGTATGGTGGTCTGTATGGTGGTCTGTATGGTGGTCTGTATGGTGGTCTGTATGGTGGTCTGTATGGTGGTCTGTATGGTGGTCTGTATGGTGGTCTGTATGGTGGTCTGTATGGTGGTCTGTATGGTGGTCTGTATGGTGGTCTTGTGTTGGTCTGTTTTATCTCAAGCTTACGTTAACACATCGTAAACGTCGACATTTCCGAACAAACTGTAGAAAGGCGGCGTCGGTTGGAAAATGGTCACTGTATTGGTCGCTCTCTAGCTTCACCAAGCTCTTTCTGTGGACAAAATGGGTATGAGTGTTAGTTGTTTCCCTTGAGCTAGAGTTATCTTCCCTATCCTAGTTTACCAACGACAAAGCAGGCAGCGGTTAACTTGAGCGTCTGTCTAAACAGGGGCGTAGCGAGGGGGGGGGGGGGGGCGGGGGGCGCGGACCGCACCGGGTGACACCATTTAGGGGGGTGACACCAAGGCAAAAAATAGCAAAATATATAGAGAAAAACTTGGAGGGGTGCAAATTGAAAGTTTGAAGGGGGGGGATGCAAATCGAAAACTTGAAGGGGGGGTGCAAATCGGAAGTTTGAGAGGGGGCTGCAAATCGAAAACTTGAAGGGGGGTGCAAATCGAAAACTTGAAAGTTTGTCCCCAGGAAGGGTCGCTACGCCTCTGGGGGGGGGGGGGGTGACACCATTAAGTGCCGCACCGGGTGACACCCGACCTCGCTACGCCACTGTGTCTAAATATCTTCCTGTATTTGACGCTGTTGGGCTTGAAGTGGGGGAAAGGGATAGAAAATGGTAGGTTGCACTCTCAATCAAGAGCAGATTATATATAATATTATATGGTCTACTAGCCATACCGGCCCTGTACTGACATTTGTGGTAAAATTTATATGTAAACAGCCGTGACTTATGTACTCATTAAACTTCATATACCCTGTACTGAATGGTATTTGGGAATTTATAAAATTATCCATTAAAAATGTTATTAGTGTATACACATTTTTTAGTTTGATCATTATAGTAGGGATACAATTTTCCCTGATGTCGGAACATGTACATGCTATAAAGGGTGACTGCTTTACTGTATACGTTGTTTCTGAAGAAAAAAATTAATATACTACATAAATTGTTATAAAGAAGGCTATAAGAGAAACTAATTGTTTTCAAAATCTCAGATATCAGTTATTAGAGTTTAATTTTCACACCTATTAAATGATTGTTTTTCTGTTATCCACATGCTATAATCGTTTATTTTCGTGTGTAATCAAAGAGCTGGGGAAATTAAAAGTTAAAATTCCTGACGAAGTTATATCCCTCTAGGTATAATATCTAGGTATAATAAGGCTGGTAAGTAGGCCACCAACCAGTTATATGGCTCATGAAGGTTTTATTGAGCCGTAGAACTGGTTGGTGACCTACTTACAAGCCCTATTGAGCGATAAAAAATTTTCATTTTTATTTATTGTCGCACATAAAAACCGTTTAGCATAAATTTTAAAAGAATGTTTCTTTCTTCCAAATGTTTTCTTCGTTTATTTTTGCGTGTTCACAAAGAACGAGGGAAGTTAAAAGTTTACATTCCTAACGTTGTTAGGTCTCTTTAATATCTCCTTACCAAAACATTTTGTCGCTTCTGTAGGTGGTGGATCTAATTCAAGCCGCGGTTTAGGTCAGTTTTCGATCACTTTAAACTCGATTATTTAAATGACTCTAATTTTCTCGTTAAAAAGAGAGTGAATAGCCAACTTTGCCAAGAACAATTTCCCTGCAAATTACCTGCAAGTACCCGATCTAATAGGTGTGAGTAACAAACAAACAAACCAAACATCACCCTCAAGATAAACTAAATATAGGAATGTAATTATGTGCCGTAGCATTTGTCGTATGCTGTTTTTGTTACAAATACTTAATAAGAAAAGTATTTATAAATAAAATGTGATGTAAAGAAACGTACGAAAGGAAAATGTAGAAAATATTAAGCTGGTTTTGTAAAGCGTGTATTCTTGGAAATCAGCCGACTAGAGCTTCTTCAAGATGCTGAGGGAGGTGTTAGGCAGAGGCGCTCTACTTCTCTACACTGCTGATGCTAAACTCTTTCCCTCACCTTAATTCACGTACAGCTAATGCTACACTTGATCACTAAAGTTTATCAAACTTCACTAAAATTCACTGAACATTGTTGAACATGTTACGTGCTAATTTATTATTTATCTCGCTTAACTAAAACATATAAACAGAGACACATGCACATAAACGCCAACACATAGAGAAACAAGAACAGTTTAACTCATAAACACGTATACACAGTAAAATACACCCATGACAAACTCACTTTCACACATACTCTCATACTCGTCTCTGACCTACCTGAAGTTGTCGGCGATATATTCCAACACATCATTCAGATAGTACAAAATGTCCCCTTCCAACAAGTTGATCTTGTAGATGGGCAAAACGGGGTCCAGTATTTCAAAACCAGAATCCTCTAATGTGTCGGGGTCAACATAAAACGCCACTTTCATTGCTGGACAGGCATCTGTCTGGAAGTATAAAGGAAAGTAAACGATATGGACTGAACTCTGTCAGAGAAACGCCGAGAGAGAAAGAGAAAATGAGAGAGTTATTGAGAAACACATAAATTTCATCTCCCCGGACGAAATAGAAAAACTGCTAATTTATATTTTTTAAATATAGATAATTAACCAGTCGCCCCCCCCCCCCTTTCGTCAATTTAAGTTCGCCTCATCCCCAGAGAAAAATTTCTGAAAGAAACCCTGGAAAATAAAATATGTTAACAAAAATTTAGACACCACGTCCTCCCCTATTATTCTAACTAACCTATTATCTCTAATATCTGATTAGGGTACCACTAGAAATAATATATTTCACAGTAATATACCATCATGGCTACAGGACATACCATCTTAGACAAAAATATCCTAGACAAAATATCTCAGGACAATTAATATCAGGATAAAAGTTATGGACATAATTCAGACAAAATACCTTAAGTCAAAATATTTACAGTACTACGATGACCAACATTGCAGTCTCAGTACCAGCGCCTGCCTTTAACACCTTTTGAACGGGTGATACAAACATAAAATTAGAATACAAATGTTTGAATACGTGGTCATTATTTACATACCAGGTTCACCCAGGCCTTTCTAGAGATCAGGTGTGGAGTAGTTCCATAAGGAATCCAACCCGCGACAAGTTTCAATGTCTGAAGTTGTCCTGCATGTGATCTAGACAGTGAAGTCACGAAGTCATCAGTCAATAATATATAGTCAATCCCAAGTTTCGTCAAGCTGGTGAGAGATAGGATACCAGTGGTCAGTTGGTCAAGTTTAACCGGTTTCTCAGCCAACAAGCGTGTGTGGAAGAACCTGTCAATGTCCAGCGACTGAAGGGTTCCTCTGGACGTGGTCAGCACTGTGTTGATGAGATTGTTGCCTTCTTCTATTGGCCATTGAGCTTTGGTCATCTTGAAACATTTTAGACGGTCCAGTCTGGACACCAAACGCGTCATTTCCCTACTGATATCGGACGGTGTTCTAGTTGACGCTTCTCGCATTCCTATGTCACTTATTTTTATTGACGTCAGTGTCGGATGACGTAAATCTTGCAAACACTTTCGGAAAACGGTGGCCAAGGAGCAGGAGCTTAGGTGGCATTCATGGTGTTTGCAGACGGAGATTGACAATTCATACAAGTGGCAGCCGAAGCGTATAGCATTCGAGAAAGCTTTTTTCCTGTTCAAACATTTACAGTTGCAGCAGAACTCGAGGTGCATGTTCCTCCACAAAGTAGGCGTGGTGTAAATTAAATCCCTCCAAGATCTACACACACTCGCTAGCCTTAACAGCTCATTTTTGTTGTCAACAAATCTGAAGATGTTTACCAACACCACTGAAGGCAACTTGCCCAGAAAACTTGAGCCGTCTGATTGGCCATTTAAGTAGACGATTAGACCGTCCATCTGACTCTTCTGATTAACTGCTGGTGAGGATACACTCAAACGACTTTTGGTATTATAAATCTCATTTACATTTCCCATTTTTAAAGTGTGAATAAGTCGTACACCTTGAAATTTGTTTGTAGCAAAAGACTACGGGACCTCATTCAACAACCTTAAAAGCTTCTTCCTGTTTATGAACTGTGCAGTCCCGTGCAAGAAAGTGCATGTTGCATCGTGTGAAAATTTTAGGTGCTGATCTTTTGCTTCGTTTTCGTTTATCAACATTTTTAAAGCTTTTACTTATTTCACATTGTCTACTTGTTTTTTTTTTTTTTTTGTGGGTAAGTGGTAAATTTTAAAACTCAAATTTGAATTGATGCAGCGATTTCCTTTAAATTTTCTAGATACATTTGTCTCCAATGACAATTAGAATATCAATTTTTCAACTGAATTATTTGTTTAATAAACCATTTAAAATTGTTTTAAATATTACTATATTCAATAACAAAGGGAGATAAGATTGAATACTAGCGATCGCTGGTCGAGATCGCCATAGATCAGGGGTCTCCAAACTTTGCAGCCAGAGGGAAGCATTAACTATCAAATATCAGTTCGGGGCCAGTTTCTTCCAGGAATCTCTTTGGGGCGGTCGAGCCCCTTTCCCCCCCCCCCCCCCCAACGAAATATATATATATATATATATATATATATATATATATATATATATATATATATATATATATATATATATATATATATATATATATATATATAATTTATATTTCAGCGACTCATCGATTGCAATTGCAAAATGGCGAAATTTGCATGCATTTTTCGCTATTTGAGTCACAGTGTTTTCACCAATGTCTGCAACACAAATGGTATTTGCACCCAAAGCTACATTTTCAAATTGTTTTGAATTTTCTGGGCAAAGTTCCTCAGACACCTCCAACAAACATTTTTTCCGTGGACAAAAAGATCTCCGCGGGCCGGATGAGAGGAACTCGTGGGCCGCATCCGGCCTGCGGGCCGTAGTTTGGAGACCCCTGCCATAGATGGTGAGCGTTTGTCACGATTGGTTGATTTCTTGCCTGAGCATCGACCATGAGCTAAGTAACGGCAGACAATATGGCTGGTAAGTAGGTCACCAAACAGTTCTATGGCTCAAGCAGGTTTTATTTAGATATAGATTAGCTTTCCGCTTGTATCTCTTTATCATTAATGTAACAAACTATTTCGGTAACAATAATCTCCGTAACAATAATCTCCGCACTTTCACGAGCACTTAACAGCAACCACAGACAGTCCAGAGAGTCCACCCAGCTCAAACGGGTACCTGACTCACTT